TTTTCTCCCTAATTTTTTTTTCTCCTTAATTTTTTTTTTCTCCCATGTCCCCTGCGGGGCTCCGTACATTCCCACATTAAACTTAACAACCAATATATGGAGCGACTGGCTCTTCTCTCCCCCTCCCTCTCCTGTTGCTACTTCAATCCTGAAACTGATTAATGATCAGCTGATCGGCTTTTCTGTCACGAGTCCGTCCGTTTTTGGCCCACTTTGCACCAGAAAGAGGAAACCAGCGGCTGAACAACAGCAGCACGTTTAACCTTGATAAGCTGTTGTTAGAAATTATTTAATATTAATTTCTACACCAGGATCTTTTTCTAGCTGACGGCTGGTAACTGTGCAGAGGCAGATCTAGCAAAGTTTAGCCAGGGGGCCCATAGGGCATGAACAGGGAAAAGGGGAGCACAAAGACATACTTTTCTTTCTTATTCTCATTTAAAATGTCTAGCTTTTAATAAATAATTATCTGAATCTTACACCCAAAGTTTTAATCTTATGTAAAATATATAGAAGTCCATTACTGTATATAGTAACTGTTAAGTCTAATATACCCTAGTAAGCTATAGTACTTTTTCCTTTGGGAAGGTACCATCTGTGCAGTCTCCAATTCTGTTGAAGAAAGATGTTGAATCTATTTAATTATTCTTGAAAAGTAATTTATTTATTTCTATTTTCCACCCTGCATCAAATTAAAGTTGATTATGTGGATTAAGCATCATGAGGTGGGGGGTGGTTCCCTATTTTTTTTTTTTGCTGGGAGTTTGCAACCCTATTAGTTGGGTTGCTTAATATTTCTGCTAAGTACTCTGTAAAATACCCGAATAGGAAGGATTGAGTAGGTTTAAGTTTATTAGATTGATCAGTATTGCTGAACTATGAAATATTTTGGGTGCAGTGTATTTTTTACATACAGGTATAACAGAATAGCTTTAGTGTTGTTGTTTATTTAAACTTGAGTATGAACTTATACAAAATGCAGCAATATATTTAAAAAAAAACAGTTTTATTGATTAAAAAACACTATATCGGATTCATATTGGTTTCATATCGGTATTGGCAGATATCCAAATTTATGATATCGGTATCGGACATAAAAAAGTGATATCGTGCCATCTCTAGTCTGTACATGAGCCTTCTTGGGCAGAGGGACCTTGAGGGTGTGACAAGATTTCAGTTATTTAGTGGTGACTGTGGTATCAACTGCCTTGTCCCTGACGTCCTTTGACAGCTCTTTGGTCTTGCCCCGTGGTGGTGGAAAGGTGGAAATTGGAGGAAACTGATTCTAAGGACATCAGGAGTATCTGTAGTTGACTGATGTGTCACATGGACATACAGTCAATCTGTGAACCAGAATTCTGGCTGGTTTGTAGGGGATGAATTGTTTTACTAAATGACATGCAAATAAATTTGTAACTTTTATGTTTTTAGAAAAAAGCAGATAAAAATTAAAAAGTGTTCATTTCTTTGTAGGTGAACGAACTTACAGATTCAGCAAGGGATCAAATAAATATTTCTCCCACTGTACTTACAGTATAACTTGTGTCTTTTTTTTCCCTTTATCCCCACAGTTGTTACTTCCTTGTTGTACACACGGGCACACATTTTAAGTCCTGAAAATCACAGGCTGTATGATGTATAAATGTATCTGTGTATCAGTGTCTCTTTGAAAGACAAACTTTTTAGGCATTTATGTCCTGAATAAATATCTTTATTAAATACAGACACTGGTAGTGATTTTACAGTGGACTGCAAACAATCATGAGAATTAACTAATAATGTCACTCTTGAGGTTAGGCTAGTCTTTTAAGTCTTGTTTACTTGGTTTTGAAAAAGAAATAATAAATCTGTCACTGTATATATTTAAACCCAACTGGACTTTCATTTAAGATTTAATTATGTTCCAATTGTGTAACAGAAGATTTTGACAGCACTTTCTATTACAGTTATCGTTCTGTGAGGAAGTTCATCTTGTAAGCTTGAAGAAAGGAGTATTGTTTAACCAAGAATTACATGAACACGTTTTAATCCAAGTGTAGCATCAAATCAGTTACATTTCTGGGATATTGACCTGGTCAGTTAAGTAGCAGAGGGGGTTGTTAATCAGTTTTAGCTGCTTCGGTGTTAATGAAATCAACAACAGGCCCACTAGAGCAGCAACAATAAGACAACCCCCTTAAAAAGAATGGTGGAGGTTGTTTTTTCTGACTGCTTTTTTCAAGAGTTTTCCAGGTGTCATGTGTCACTATTTTCAATTCGATTCCATTTTATTTATATAGCACCAAATCACAAGAGCAGTCACCTCAAGGAGCTACTTGCAGCATGAACCAACACCTGGATCCTACAGAGGTTGCACAGGTAGTCCAGTTCCTCACCTCCAGGATAGCAAATCAATACTTACCATTGCCAGAAGGTCAGCTTCTTTATGAAAGGAGGAACAGGATGAGCACTACAAAATGACCTCTGGCAGTCACAAATGTGAATGTCTCTTGTGATGTAACCTGGACAAATAGTCAGTGATGCACACAGAGTCTTAACATCAGACACCCTCTCCCTGGTAACCCAGCCACGGGTGATTAGGCCCCGCTTCTGTCCAGGTAGCATGCTCCTCCATGTATCAGCCCTCTTCAGCAAAGCCTTCAGGAGGACTTATCTGCAGCTTCCAGGATGTTTTTGATACTATTCTGCAGTCCATACATCCCCACGAGCCCTAGAACTTTAGAGACTGACCTGCAAAGGCCCTACACCCCACCTCCACAGGCTTGCAGCACACCTTCTCAGCACACCTGCCGAAAGTCGGCAACCAGTTCTGCATGTTTTACTTTCTTTCTTTCCTGCATTTCCTCCATCTAATCTTCCCATTGGACAGTCAACTCCAGCAGGATGACTTGCTTCAACTCTTCAGACAGCAGGCCTGTATCAGGCCTCCGTGTGGTGACTGTCTGGGAACCTCAGCTGTCTCCCAAGATCACCCAGAAGCTGCCAGTCTCTTGTTATTGCCAGGAGCTTTCCCTACACCCTTTGTTGGGGCAGTGTGGGCCCAAGAAAGATGTTGAAATACTGGTGTAAACAAGTCTGGCCCTGAATGGCAGGAAAATTTGCAGTTGCTGTTGCTTCTTGCTGTGGTTTATGACAGCACAGATGGTATCTGCTAACACCCAAAGAAGATGCTTGTGGTGCCAGTGGTAACGCCCCCACCCTCCCAAACTCCTTGGCAGCTGCTGAGAATGTGGTCCAGTGTGACCTTCTGGTGACAAAAAGGTGAGACAGCCAGGCCTCAACTGTACAGGTTGGAGGTGCTTAGAAGAAGATTGTATACCAGCTTCCCCAGAAACTTGAAGCAGAGAGCTTCCATCTTTTAGAGCTCTGCTGAAGTGATTTTACCTGCAGCATTCTCCCACTTGTTCAGGGTCCTTGTTTGTCCAGCATCACAGGTTTCCTCCTATTTAGCACGCAGTTTCTACTGAATGAGTTGGTGGCACTCTTTCTCCTTCCAAGCCCTGCTGGGCAGTTACCACTATGCCAACCAAGCTGTTATCCCGCAGTTTGGCATTGTGACCAATATATTACTATACTATTATTACCTGTTTTTTCCCTCATAGAGATTTATTAGTTTCCACATTATCACCCCCAGGTTTTGGCCTCTGATTACCCAGTTGCATAAATTCCAGTGTAATATTACTCAGCTAAAACCATTGTTGATACAAAGTAGAACTTGGTCATTACTTGTGCATTACTTTGGTAATTACATGGCAATATCTCACCAATTATATATGATTACTGTCTCGTTTGCATCTTATTACCGCACTGTTACTACTTTATTACCAAGCTGTAATAGAAAGTGCCGCCAAGCTTTCCTTTTCACATGACTGTATTTTTTCAACTCAAACCTGATTATCTTCCCATTTTGCAACAGGAGATTTTTATTACTACAATTGTGTTACATTATGATCAATGTCTCATTTTTTTCTATTCACTCTTTGTACTCACTCACATTTCTATAACTGCAAAATACAGACACTTAAAGAATTCTGTACTGATATATGCAAAACTATCATGTTTGAAGATTAAGCCATCAAGTAACAAAAAGTGCAGAAATTCACTAAACTGCAGGGGGAAAAGGACATTATGACTGAAGCGACAGAAGGCTAGCCAAGAGGCACAAAAGCCCATTCAGTCCAGAAGATCAAGGTCAGTCTATAAGGACATCAAGACATCCTCTCCTTTGTACGAACCGCAACCGCACACTGACAGGAAGGAACGGACATCTAATCTGCTAAATCAAATACACAACTGACTCATGTCTCTAAGCATCTCACTGTAAACCTATCTGAGCAGCTGAAATGGTCTCAGCCTGTGTACTACAGAGATGTTAAACTGGATGTGATTACACATCAGTGTTAAATAAATCCTCACTGCAAAGGTGGATTGACTCTAACTGGGGGTAACACACACCAAAAAAAAAAATGTGACTGCTTGATTTTTATAGAGATTCACATCTAAAGACACATATTTGTCTTTGGCATTGGTGTGTAAACAAACAGACTTATCCGTGTAGGTTCTCTCTTGTTCTGTGCTCATGGCTTTTATAGACTATTACAAGTGCAATAAAAAAAATCCAAAGGGAAGGCATAATCATCAGACTGTGGAATGATATACAACCAGTCCTTCTTGCAAGAGTCAATTATAGCCCGTGTCCTTTGCTTATTATAAGGAATTATATTTAAAGCAAAAGAATCATCATCATCATAATAATAGAAACATCTATCAAAAATCTGAAAAAGCCACGAAGGCAGGGTATTTCTCTAAGCTTAATAATCCCATTATGATCCCAATGAAAAAAAGCTCTCTGTCAAAGCAGGGAGCATTGACGCAAGCATGTCTTGACGTCAGTAGCTGCAGTGAGTGAGGAATGGGAGGGGGGGGGGGGAGAGAGAGAGAGAGAGCGAGCGAGGGAGATGCGTCTTTGCCTTCAGAAAATACCACGAAATGCCAGCGTCACTGGCACGAATGCAACTGTAGCAACAAACCTATGTTTGATTTCCAAACTACTCGCTTTGACATCAGAGTATGCACATTTTGTAGAAACGATATGCGCGCGGCGCTTGAAATCTAAACCAGATGTAGTAAATGGAATAAGATCCTCTGACCCGGGAGTGCTCATAAATAAATCAACTATGAGAGAATGAAGGGCGAGCGGGAGGGAGAGCATTTGCTCAACTGGTGTCAGGCACACCTCTGTGACTCTCCAAAAAAGCAAAATGAATGTGTAGCAGTCACTGATAATCTGATACTGTCTGTGCAGTTCTATCCAGCTGGATATCTCCTCAAAATCTCCAAGCACGCACAGTCCTTTGTCGCTGTAGCAAAAGAAGGGCGCTGATTTCACTATTCTCTGGCATTCCTAGGCGAGTCGAGCGGAGAGGGAAAAACTACCATCAAGCAATTTGTAAAAGCCAGACCCGTGGCGTCATTGGCTGCTGCTGTATATACTGTGCGTAATACCACGATTCTTCTGCCTCATTTATTCACAGCTCATTCTCAAGTTGCTCTGTGGCTCCCGAACACTGAAGTCAAACCAAACCTATTCGTTCAAGACTGGTCTTCACAACATCATGCGTGTTTGTTCGATTTATGTTAGTCTCGCACACGGATTAGGAGGTTTTGTGCGAGACGTATTACAGACAAAAACATTGTTCTCCACTCGTCGCTGGACTGATGGTATTGTGAAAAAGAAGGTACTGTACTCCCCCTACACTACTTCTGTAGAACACTGTCTCCAATTTTACGCTGGAAAGGAATCCTCCCCTCCTTAACAGATGTTGCCGGAGAGTGTTTTCTATTCGCAACATAGTGTGTAGCGCAGATGTTGCCAGAGGAACGTATGCTTCGGTGTACTTTATCGGGCAGAGCACGTCCAGCTAATCTCCGTTTACATTGGCCTTTACTCTTGAAGATACCCAAGAGTTCCCGTTGTGTCGGCTGTGCGTCATCGATGCCTGATTAGACTTGTAGTCTGACGTCGCCGAGCACCATTCAAGCAAAATACCTCACACAATGTTGAAAGTCTAAAATGATTTTTTAACGCATCCGGGATGACGAAAACCACTTTTTTTCTTTCTTATATAGAGGTGGATCAACAAGTTGCCTCCAGTGCGTAATTTCCATCTGAGTAGGTCTGAAGCGTAATCCGTAATCCACACGTGATCGACAAATCACTCCAGCTGCAAATATTTCTCATTTGACAAGGGAAATAAACCCCGGACGGACGTGGAGACGCATCTTGTGTGATTACGGCGGGAATCAAGAGCTGACGGGCCTCTTGTTTCGCTGCGTCTCCAGATGCTCGACTGGCCGCCACATGGTAACTTTGCGCACACAGCACGCTGCAAAGGGCACATATAGAGAAGGAATCTGAATGAACGGGACTGAGATTTATTCGCATTTCTCTTATCGCCACCCCCAGACTGTTGTATGTGTATTATACCCTGCCGGTTGAAGGTGTCTCACGTTGTCAGCAGATATCAATTCGGCGGTGGATATATCAATCACCCGAACAGTGAGCAGCAAATGTCGAAGAAACGGAAAAGTCCTGATGACCAGGACTTTGAGGACTATCCGCCTGCAGGAACCAGCGACCAAGGTAGGAGTGATGGTCACAAATGAGAGTGTGAAAGTTGAACTGTTGTCAGAGTGCAGCTATGTGAGCTCCTCAGGGATTCGTTGGTGTATTTCTTTACATTCAGATATTCAAACGGATCATTACAAATAGTTTATTGTAGGCAAAAAGGCATCGAGACCTGCTGATACTCTGAGGACGCACAGCTGCTGTAGCTGCCGTGCTAGCGCTACAGAGGCTGTGCAGTGGGATGGCCATGATGCCATGCACTTAAATCAGTATCTTTATCCCTAAAAACAATGTGTGTGTCCACAGATTACTTTTTATAATCTCTTATCAATCCCCGGTGGGTTTTTGTGAGATATTAGGTTTTGCAGGAGGGACTTTAATTCTTAGGAAAATATAGGAAATGCCAACTTTGGTCAGAGTCTGTGTGAACTCTGACTGGCTGGTGGCTTGGAAATAACCACTCAAGCAAAGAAAGAGCAGTTGCTTAAGAAAATGGATTATACGCCGGTAAACTATAATGTTGAGCCGATTTGTTTTCAGAGTTCAGATCATGTCTAAATCTTCTATCAGTGTGGTGTAGATGCAGAGTCCTTGTGTGCTAATGGGCCTGGCCATATACCCTGGGAAAACGAGAGTAAGCTGCTGTTAAATATTGTGGATCCAAATGAGATGACGTATTTTGTTTGATACTCAGAGGGGACATTTCCACTGATAAATCCAAAAGAATACAAAAAACAGAGAAGTTTCAGCTCTTTTTTCGTTATCTCCATTATTAGCATCAGTATTATTTTTCCCTTTTTAGTTGTTCTGATTCACCTTGTGGTCTGTTTTAAGTGTCTTTGAGTAATTTTGCACTTCTTAGTAATTTAATTTAATAAATTTTCAATACATTGACTTAACGTCATAATAATGTTCCTGGGCATGTACCCAGAAGGCTTCTACTGTTCAACTTAAGCCATGAACTTTGGAGAATGTTGAGCTAATCGATAATCAGGGTAGGACATTGACCAGATTTTCCCTTTTCCCACATGTAGCATGAGATAGTTCACTTCAAACACATTATCACTACTGGAAATACTCCCTTTGGTTTAGGCGTGGAAGCTGCATTAAAAGGGCATGCACAAGGCAGGAAACACAGTGTGAATTCACCAGACAGTGACCTCTGCTTTATACACATTACCTCTGCTTTCCATCACACTGACATTTTTTTTAGGAAGCTGGTTGGCTGAAGGTGAATTAAGGTCTGATCTAACATTCCTATTCTTACTTATGCCTCCATCAGGTAATACCTAAAAAATTCAGGGCTGCAGTGCATGTGTGAAAACACCATCATTCTTACTTTCTTCAGGTTGCCCGACATTGATCGACCCAAACAAACAACTTTCATGTCAAAGCTGGTTAGCAACTGTGTCTGGTAATTCTGGTAAATGCTCCTTCTCTATAAGTGGTTACTTGTATGGCTGAGATACACGCTGGTTATAAGCCATATACAATTAATCCATACCTAGCAGATACCTGGCCGACTTAATGGTCTATCAATAATGTTAAAAAGCCAACTACTTTTTGACCACGCCTTTGGCTCCTCCCAGCCCCAGAGTCTTAACCCACTTTGTAAACATGTGGTCCGTGACGACTGTCAAACAAAAACCAGTTCTAAGTAAAATCAGCCCCATTGTTATGGTTTGCTTTCCTCAAAGTGTCTATGATATCGTGCGACTGCTGTCAGTCTGACATTACTGCCTGGGAAGTAAACCCAGAGTTTGCATATTAATGATTTACATGGCCAAATAGAGTACAGCTGAATTCTATTGTGTCCCCAGTTATTTAAAAACACTGGTTTCCGTTCATCGTTCAGTTCGATATTCAAGCATTCCCCCCCCTATCAAGAGGTGGCTTTTAAAGTGTCTCAATCCTCAGCGTGGCTGCTATTATGCTGGCAAAAACATAAAAAGAAGTTGCGAGTTCAAGGCCAAGAACACCATCACCTTCAACCTGATAGTCGTGCCTGCTTGCATGAATAGGGCTGTAGGAATGAAAATATTTTGCACAAGGACTAGATTTGTGTGGTGTTTCCTTTGCATACTACTTGTCAAGTTAAAAATTATTAACCATATAATCATTAAGCTGTTTTTGTCACATACACAAACATGAATTCCTCTCTGTGGTTTACCTTTTAAATCACATTTATTGTACGCCTGAAACATATTGAGTTTTGCGCCACGTAACGCCTTTGAAATACAACCCTTAAAAGTATCAGTTAAAAAAACAACACATATTTTCACTTCATATGTACGGCCATGCTTGTGTTGCATCTCAGTTTTTCAAATGCGCTGAAAGAAGAACCACAACTTGAAATTTCATCAAGACACCTTGGCGCAAAACAGCATACAGTGCACAGTTTTCATGAGTAATATTTCTCAGAAAGTAGTTACAATAAAAAAAAATTAAAAGCAGTGTAGTCTGTGAATTATTACAAGAGCGATATTTTCTCTTAAAAGTAACGAAAGACTGGGCACAACAATAAAAATGCATTTACATCCACTGCAGTAGGGTATGATGAGTAAACCAATGCTTCTTGGCATCCACATACAAATGTACTGCAGGACTTAGCATAAATGCAAGCAGATCACATCTTCAGATTTCAGGCTTGGCTCTGAATCTCGTTGGTCCCGTGCCCAAATGAGAATTTCCCTTGGCTAATACGGAAGGAGACCCTGGCGCTTCCTTCCCCAACTGTGCCTGGCATCTGTCACTACTTAGGGGGTGGACACACAGTGAACCCTACCCACTCAAGATCTCGCCATTCTGGATGCTTTGAGGCAGGTTTGGTACACTATGATACACAAATGCAGACACACTGTTTAAGCAAATCTAGATTTTAAAACAAATGCACGCAGTACTTCAGCACAAAAAAAGTTTTGGTTTGCTCAAACTAAATGGTTGCTATTACAATAAGCAGACAACAGAACCACATAACTAGCAATGGTCACAGTGTGTTGCTCCTGTTGGTGCTCCATTCACTGTCGCCTCTGAGTGCTCAAGCTTGCGTTTTCTCATGGAGATCGTTTTTGTTCACTCTGCGAGCCACAGTGGGGCCAAGAGAGGAGGTGTAGAAACAGGGGTACTGAAATTCATATCAGGACCACAAAGCATTTTTTTGTCTTGCCTCTTGGTGTACAGCCTAGACCTGTCAACTGCCCTCTGCAGCCCCCCCACCCAACCACCAACAACCACCGTCGCAACTGGTTAAAAGCCTTTATCTGTACAAAACAACAGCTCTTACAGTTACAGGGTGATGCCAGTAAAACCTTTGCTAAAAAGTTAATGAATGTGTTGCTTTGATCCTGTGATTTCTTTTTCCTACCATGCTTTGATTAAGTCAAAATAAGAAAAAAAAAGGCAAATGAGGAAACAGAAAAAAAAAGAAAGAAAGAAAGGATATGAGATAATCTATATCCTTTCTTTCCACTGGATATCTAATTTCATACACCATTACCGGGAGCAGTGGAATATAAACACAACATTTTCATATTAAGATGTAAAGTGTCAAACAATTGTCCATTTGAAAATCTAGCACACACAAAATAGTCTCGGTCTTTTTCATTCATGTATCTTACCAACAAACGGAGACTGACTCAGTATTCAATCATTTTTTTTATTTTGTTTTCCTTGAATCCTAATGGTAACGTCACACTAGGGAAAACAGTGGCTGGAGACCATGGCACAACCAAAATTAGTGCAACAGTGTGTAATGAACTTGGAGTCTGGTTACTTCCCAGATAGGAACCAGGTTTGCAACCACTTGCAGTCAGTCTGCTATCAGTTTGCAATCAAATGGGGTCAAGTTGCCAATTACATGTATTCTGTTTTAATAATTCGGGGATTAAGTGTGATAAATCTGTAGAAATCTGTTGCTTAAACACATTCACAGACATTTCCTTTTAATTACTAGCATTCAGAGTCCAGTGAAAACAGAAAAGCAACGAGACTTGCTCGTACTCCGTAAAATTAAACAGCATATAAATTAGATGCCAGTTATTTGCAAACCTTCTCCAATATGTTTGAGAGTGAATACTGTCTGTTCAAATGTGTGTGTGATTGTTTGGAGAGAGGCTGTCTCCCATAAAGTGACCTGTGCAATCACCTCGCAATCACAGGTTTGTTGCACATTTTGGCCAAAAATTTTTTTTTCTAATATCAGTCGATTTGTTATAAATAAGAACATTATATACACTAGTAAAGGTCCACATGTTTGGCCTGTTCATGCTGATGGGCATTAAATTAATGTGACATGATTCTTTTATAAAATGCTATATGCATGGGACATTTTAGCCCATTGCTAGATGGTTTCCAGGTAAAATGATGAAGTTATGATTTATTATGTATGATCCAGCTTTTGTTGATATAAATGAGATGTTATATCCATGAAATAAAAACCATTTCAATTTTTCATTAGCTGTTACAAATTTTAGCCACATTTTAGCCCATTGCTAGGTGGTTGGCAGGTAAACCGATGGCATAAAGTATCATGAATGATTATGGTTTTATGATTTTAAATAAAATAAAATAAAATAAAAATGAAACAATGTTTTTATAAGGTATTACAAGAGTCATTTTAGCTTGTTGCCAGGTCGTTGCTAGGCAATGTGACAACGTCTGATATAGATAAGAACCTTCAGGTACATAAGATGTACCCTTGAGCCAAGTTTGGATGACCGTCAAAGAAACAAACAAATACATAGATATTTGTGTGCTATAGTGAGATGATGAACACAAGATGTTTCTCCCAAGTTTAAACAACCCACATCACGAACTTCATTCCAATCATTTTTTCTTTAAGCAGACTTTTTTCATGGAAGTTTACATGTTAGATGAGAGGATAATATTTTAAATGTGTCATTGGCAATTAAAGAAAGTGCTTGCCATATATAATCTATGATGTAGCAATGATGTTGCTGCCACTTCAATAACAATATGTCATGAAGAACAAAATGGCCTCCAGTCACAGCAAGAAA